CAGATCCTACAATAGTCATATGATCCGATGTACAGTTGTATTTATTTGATACCGACGCCTCAGCAAAGGTGTTACTCCACACTAAGTCTAGCACGTTTCCATCTCGATGCGTGGGTACGCCGGCTGAGGTTATTAACTGCATGTCCCGCGCTAGTGCCCAGTCCATGATCTGGTCGCCGCTGCCATATTGCCTTGGTGCCTGGGATTGCCAGTGTTTCGAGACCGCATTGAAGTCTCCCCCGACTACCGTGGGGCCTTGGGGCGTCCATTGGAGTAAGGGTTCTAAGGTACCGCTTGGCCCGGGTGCACAGTATACGTTTACAAAAGTCAGGCCAGATACTTGAACGAAGCAGTAGTCCAAAGTTTGTCTTGTGGGAGCCGTATGTATTTGTGAGGCTTCGAGACCTTTCCGGGTAAAGGTGATTGCTCTTGGGCGACCTCCTGTATCTCCGATGGGCTTGTGGCTGTGAAAGCCAGGATGATTTTTCGTTTTATACTCCCCATCTTCTTGCAATGTTTATGGTTCTTGTACCATGACAACGTGCGCTCCTGCGTCCCACGCCTGTTGCAGCGCTATTTCCATATTAGGTCCGCCCTTTCCCACGTTCACTTGGCGAAATAGAAGGGTGCTATATTTTCGGTTGTGCTTGTGAGAATTTGGTGTATTACTCATTGTCAACCATCGTTTCTTCTGGTATATTAATGACCTTGCGGGCCTTACCTTTTTCTTGAGATCTTAATATTGCGGCCTTAAAATCTCGACGTCCTCGCTCTCGAATAATTCGTAGCTCTGCCGGTGATCGTGATGTCACTTGGCCATGGTATCGCCTTGGACAGGCCATGCAGTCCAAATGTGTTGACTCGTGTGGTCCAGCACAGTTTGAACATTTGAGAATGTCGGCTGTGCATTCTGCTGCTTCATGCGTGCCCGAGCATTTCACGCACCGCTGTCCTTTGACGCAGTTCCTTGTCGAGTGATAACCCCAGCAGCATTGACATTGCTCGATGGGCCGTTTACGAGAGAATGGTATGGCTGGTCCACTCTCGTCGAACAGCCTGAACTTTAGGTTGGCTGGTGCCTGTTTGAAGTGTGCAATCCAACTGGTGGAGTACTGACCCAGCTTTATGTCATTTGGGCGCGCCTGTATTGGCGCGACACCACACACTGACTGGCATTCGGTCTTCACCATTTCGCTGGTGACTCCTATTCTTCCGTCCAATGTCCGGATGTTAACCGGTACATGAGGGACCATGACAGAGGTCCAGTCTGAGGCAGGCTCAATTGTTATGTCCTCCTTTTGGAGAGAAGCGCCAAAACTCAGGATTGTTTCTCTGAGTGCGTCTGATGCACACTCAATTGCTAGGCCAGACCTAACTTGTGTCATTGCTATGATGGCTGGGGGTGCGACCCCAGCTTTTTCAGTTACAATCTTCTTTATTGTGACAGGTGACAACTTCCGCCACTGGTGTCCTTGACCTAATCGGAGGAACAGTCTTTTGTCTTCTTTGGGTGGTTCTTGTTTTTTCGGCTTTGTATGCACAACAGGTCTATGTTTGACCAGATTAACTGGCGGGTCCGGGAGCTTGGCCGCCTTCCGCGCTACAGTGACCCACGGGGAAGCATTTTCGCGTGGCTTTGGAGGAAGTTCGTGGCGGGGTTTCTCGGCTGGTTTTGTCGCCCTAGGCCCAGGAGTTGGTCATTGGGTGGTTTCGGGTGCTGGTTTCTTGCCTATGTTAATTTTGGCATTGGTGTTGTTATCGACTTTAAAACTTGTTGTCGATATTGTATATGTATGTCTGTTATCACAGACATTGGAAATAATTCATGAGATTGCTTAATGAGTGGCTAGATTTGATTCCGATATAATATTGTAGAAGACTTGTCCCAACTATCAGAGGGCTACAACGTCTTTATCTATCTACAGGTAAATTCCCCATATTCCAACCACGCTAGCCATACAGGACGTAGCATGTAAAGCCTGATTTGTATCATCATTTTGGGTTTGAGGTCTACCGTGCATATGCTACTCGAGTCGCATGTCTGACTACTATGCGACACGCTTAGGTATCAATCTAACAACCCACACCAAAACCGAAACTACTTACAACCCTGATGATGACCCCATGAATAATTGTAACAGTAGCCTGCAACATAGCACAATTAGGCTAGACATCGTTGACCAGGACCTAATCCGAACATGTTGCCTATTGCAAAGGCTGTCACGACAGGTAAAATGTTTTCTATAAGTGGCGCAACTAGGGTCGCGCCTTCAGTTCCCACCTTGGATTTTGCCCAAGCGTCGATAGTATGCAGGAAATCTTGAGCTACGCTCATTCGCTGCTTTCGTTCGCGTTCTGATTGCTCCATTGCAGCAGCAATCCCAAGAAGGCTCGGGTGAAGGTGGTCGCCTGGGTCGAGCGACGCCGAGGACGACGGCTGGTTAAACGCAGCCATGATGCTGCTTGATTCTGCGCGAAATGCGATGGTTTGGAAGGTTTGATGAACGATGTTATGTGTGATTAAATAAATTGAGAAGTTAGTGATTTATGTTATAAATTGAGAAGTTGAGGGGGTTTTTCGTGTGTGCAGAAGTGAAGTCGCTGTCTCACATCGAACTGTAATTTAGGACTATTTGATTTAGATTAGTTATTCTGTATTAATATATAAGTTATCAATATTCTATCTTCAGAATCCACTGTATCAGACATTTAATTGGTTGAGGATCTAATTGCCTTGCGATACCCAGAATCCTGAAAATTAGGAAGACATACCCAGGTGAGAAGAGCGGCCGAGTGCTGAAAGCCGCGAGCTATGATGATGAGCTCTTATGACAGCATTACAAAAACCAACTCTCAACGAGAACACGCCGACACATGTGTGTCTCGAACACTTGCCACAAAGGGAAACGCCTGTACATTTCTATTAGCAGGGCGTCGCGTTAACCACTCTGCCAAAGTGCCCTGGAATCAAAATGCAGTTAAAATAATATTCATAAATAAAACGATCAGGTGACGCACGGTGAATATTATCTTCGGGAGCTACTTGTGAGTTTCCTTCTCCTGTTTGCAGACAATCTAACTCACTCGATTTGACCTCGTCGATCTTGCTTGGCTTACTGTAACAACGATTAAGATTTACAGATCGATAAATTCAATTTTTTAGTCCCAATTTCAATCTAGTTTGTATAATCTTTTCCTGTGATACAAAGCGTCATGGAAAAGGATAGAATACTGCTGTTCGTGAGCTTCTCCAAATTTGTCCTTTAAATTTGATAGGTACATTATCTAGTTTTGCCCTTTAGGTTAAGACGAGGTTAGATTCGATTTTATTATTAATACGAACCAGTCACAAATGTCACAATATTGACTCTGAAGGAGTGTAGAGTATCAATTGTCTAGCCCTATGTGCAAATTAAATTCCCTCACTGAAGTCAGGCATAAACCCCAGCCATACGCATGACAATAGAACTTCCTGGACTCCTGAATCCTTGCAAAGCCTAAAGCTTGAGCCAGACTTGTTTGCCGAAATGTCGGCAGGCGGTCTAGATTTGGTTCGACAGCTGTAGACCAAAGATTCGAACATGTCCTACCCCAAAAAATCTTGCGCCTTTTGGTTTGTTTGTGACATATAGATTATCAAGGGGAACGAGAGATTTAGAATTGTGCCCTCTGATTGTTGAAATTATTACTAGGCCTAAAGTTGTGAGAGGGATGGAATAAAGGCCAAGATTGGTAATATCAGCCGTTTTTTCCGGCACTACGAATACAATAATGAAATAGGCAATATCACACTCAAGCAAAATTAAACCACAAAGATGACTCTCAACACCAAATGATAACGTTTTTGCGCTCCACCAATGTTAAGATACACTAAGGCTAGCTAAGTAGTATTTTAATGCAGGTAATATCCACCTGCTTCATACATTATTCCTTCAAAAGTCGTAGAACACCTGATAATATGTCGGACCACAAATCATTATGTAAGCTCTAGGTTATCACTCTGAATTACGATTGTATAAATATATGAAAATTCCGACTGTACTGTTCTCCAAAATCTATTGCAAATAGTTCATGCACATCTGGTACCAGAGTTGTCTAAATCAGAGCACGTGTTCTTAGACTCAAGTGAGGGTAAGTGTCTTATGACAGAACATTACAAAGGCGTGCGTCATCGGCTCCAATAACCTGAACTATAAATTCCGAGAGATCCTCTAACTATCGATCGCTCAGCGTTGACTTACTAACTTTGGAGGCCACTACACAACGAGTCTGAACATTTTCTATTTTAATTTATTATAAGTTAGATTCACCGCACTATCGAATCTATCTAGAAAGATAAAACAACGATGAGCTCTCCTAGAAGACGCATCGAGACGGATGTGAGTTGATGTTTCTGAAAGTTGACATACTCTCTCCGGTTGATTAATCATAATCATTTTTGCAGGTAATGAAGTAGGTTCGAGAGTGAAGGATAGCAGTCTATAGTAACTTGCTAACAGCATCTCTAGAATGTACGCTGTGCCCGTCGAGCAGCACTATTGTAGAACCTCAGCTAAATGCTCGGTAGGTTAATGAGTGACTATGAAGTTACACTAGTGAATGATAACAGTGGGCTAAAAATTCCGAGCTTTCAGCCCTGATCTAACCTCTACTGTAGTGTATGTTTTCTACAATCCAGATTAATTAACATCACTCAATAAACTCTAGGCAGGAATTCTATGTTCGATTTAAGGGTCCTGATGAAAGTGAGAGAGATTCCGGATTTATGATTAAGAAGTTGACTGTACACAGCACCGTTTGAAGGAGGCATTTGGAAAGTGCGCGTTGAGCTTCCCGACCAGTATCCCTACAAATCGCCCAGCATTGGCTTCGCAAACAAAATATTTCATCCAAATATAGACGAGCTGTATGTTTATTTTAAACGTGGTCGCAATATAATCTGACGCACCACAAGATCTGGCTCTGTTTGCCTCGACGTAATAAATCAGACGTGGTCTCCTATGTTTGATATGATCAACATATTTGAAGTCTTTCTTCCACAACTTCTAAGATATCCAAATCCAACAGATCCTCTGAACGGAGAAGCCGCTGCCCTATTAATGAGAGAACCAAAAGGATATGACGCAAAAGTGAAGGGTAGGCAGGGAATAGCACCATTATTGCGTAGAATCTGCTGACGAGTAAGAATATGTTGTGAAGTACGCCAGCAAAGAGGCTGCAGATGAGGCAGGGAAAGAAGAAACTGATGAAGAAGACATGTCATCCGTGGCAAGTTACGAAGATGAAGAAGAACCTGCTGGACAGATGGAAGAAGTTTGAACCAGCGGCAGCAAGATTTTCGAAACCTAACATAGATACGACGTTTGGACGGGGAACACCTAAATTGTGACATAGAGCCCGTATTTACAAGCCCAGCTGGATAGGACTAAATTATGGAGTACTTATTTGGGCAATTTTGTAATGTTAAGAACTAAATAAAGTACAGTCAGTAGCAACGAATCCTGGAGTGGCTAGACTCAGATGTCCAAGCCACCAATAATTTAATCATCGTTCACTTCTACATTTTGATTGCACGATAGATTAAACTCGGAAAGGAATAAGGTGTTTAATTTCAGGCCTGGCATTTGTTTCGGCTAGTGCGTGTCGTTAAGGTAGGGTGGAAATCCTTGCAAACTGTGCGGATTATTGTGTCATTCATTTCGTTAGTATAGTTATTCCGCGTGACCCATAAATTACTGCAAATTTTCTCGCAAGCGGCACATTCGTTAACATCCGCAATCAACATTTGCTAAATAACAATCACATTCCTAGAATGGATGAAAAAAGGTTCTTAGAACTTTTGCAAGACATACAGATACGTAAGCTAACATTCCTTTCTTGCAAGTCATGTCTTATGAGGAAACTTCGCTGAAAAAATAATCAGCCGACACAGAAAGAGTTAAAGCAGCAACAACTGTGTTAAGAAAGCAATACTACCCTCATCCCGAATCACTAGCGTTTCTACTGCAAATACTCACATCATACCATGATGATGGAGTACGCCAGCAAGCTGCCATCGAGTCTTTGCGTCTAATTCAGAAACATTGGACATCAATAACTGACGATAAAAAGTTGATTATTCGTGAAAGCCTTCTCCAAGGTACTCTTGGGGAATCAAAACCTCTTATTCGCCACGCTTCGGCACGCGTGATCGCATCCATTGCGGCAATAGACTTCAAGAATCAACAATGGCCTCAGCTCGCTTCACTTCTGGCTCATGCAACTACATCCGACCAAGTATCACATCGCGAGACGGGCACGTATATAATTTATACACTCTTAGAGTCTGACTGCGACATATTTCAAGATAAAACATCTGAACTATTTCAACTATTTGGTAACACAATAAAGAACACCGAGAGTAACGAGGTTCGCATAAATACGCTCCTCTGTCTAGGAAGAATAGCCGCGTTGATTAAGCCTGATGAAGATGAGCTCAACCTCACCCGTTTCCATGAAATATTTCCCCAGATGGTTGCTGTATTAAAGTCTGCTATTGATGAAGATAATGAAGACCATATCATGCAAGCCTTCGAAGTTTTTCAAAATCTACTATGCTCCGAGTCTGCTCTTCTTAATAAACATTTCAAAGATCTAATCACCTTCATGATGGAAATATCTTCCAGTACATCAATAGCAGATGAATCACGGACTCAAGCGTTATCATTTCTAATGCAATCAGCAAAATTCAGAAAAATGAAGATACAGGGGACAAAGGATCTCGGGGAAATGCTAACACTCAAAAGCATCCAAATAGCTACAGAGATCGACGATGAAGCTGATGACGACGATGATGATGAAGTCACCCCATCAAAAACCGCATTAGGTCTCCTTGATCTTCTTGCAACCAATTTACCTCCTCGTCAAGTCATTGTTCCTCTGCTCCAGGTTCTACCACAGTATGTACAAAATCCGGATCCCAAATTTCGCCAGGCCGGTATACTAGCGCTTGGCATGTGTGTCGAAGGAGCTCCAGATTTTATTGGTACTCAATTGGACAACCTTGTACCCATAATCTCTCAACTTCTGGACGACCCTGAAATACGCGTCAGAGGTGCAGCGTTAAACAGTGTCGCTAGACTTGCTGATGACTTAGCTGAGGAACTATGCAAGCATCACGAAGCTCTCGTCCCTCTTTTAGTAAAGAATCTTGACGCTTCAAGCTCGCTTTCACAAGCCGGTGGTAACGAATCATCTAGAAGTCTCGAAATCTTGAAGTCCTCATGCGGAGCTTTGGACTCTGTATCCCGTGGAATAGATAAAGCAACCATGCTTACATACATTCCAGAGCTTGTACCCCGACTAGGAAATCTCCTTAGCCACCCTGATATGAACGTTAAAGCTAGCGCAGCTGGTGCCTTAGGCTCCATTGCCGAATCTGCCGAGAATGAGTTCATGCCATATTTTGAGAGCTCAATGAAGGCTCTCTCGCAGTTTGTAACAATCAAACATTCTTTCGAAGAGCTGGACCTTAGAGGTGTAGTCTGTGATGCTCTCGGAAGCATTGCTACTGCTGTAGGCGCCGAGGCATTCAGGCCTTACGTGAATGACTTGATGCAGGCTAGCGAAGAGGGTCTTCATCTTGGACATCCACGCTTACGAGAAACTAGTTATATACTATGGAGTACTCTAGCTAAAGTTTACGGATTGGACTTCAACCCCTACTTGGAAGGAGTAGTTAAGGGCCTTTTTGAATCTTTGGAACAGATAGAGATAGAAGACCAATTAGACCTGGAAGACGGAAATCAAGAACTACTCGGGCAGAAAGTTAACGTATCTGGAAACAAGATCACTTCTGCAACTTCATCAAATTGCTGCAGCGAAGAGATATGCAATGATCATGACTCGGATTGGGACGATGACTTTTCACACACTGCAGTTGCTATGGAGAAAGAAGTTGCCATTGAAGTTCTTGGTGACGTTATAAGTCACACTCGTCGTCACTTTATGCCATACTTCGAGAAGGCCGTTGAAATAACTCTTGGACTAGTAGAGCATGGCTATGATGGTGTTCGCAAGGGTGCCATAGGAACCTTATGGCGCTCATATGCATGCTTGTGGGCCATAATGGAAGATGATTCCGGTCAAAAATGGACACCTGGACTGCCACTGAAGCAGACACCCTCAGGCGAGGCTCTTAAATTAGGAGAACTTGTTACGGCTGCCACAACATCCATATGGGATGACGAAATGAACAGGTATGATATTTTAATATCCAATCATTCAAAATGATGAGCAACATGACGTTAACCCAGCTCACTCCGAGGCACACGTTGCCGTTGATGAGAACGCGCATTTGATTCTGATTGAAATCTTTAAGACAAGCCTGTTTACATCAGATTGAACATAAATACTAACTCAAAAATAGGGCAGTTGTGACCGATATTAACAGGAACGTTGCGGCGACACTCAAACTTTGCGGACCTGCTATTCTCACGCAGAACAATTTTACCGAAAGAACAATTACTACATGTGCTGCTATAATCACTAAATCACACTCGTGCCAACAAGACCTCGGTGATGAGAATGGACAGGGTGAGACTGAAGATGAAGAATCAGCGGAGTACGACTGGCTTGTTATTGATACGGCGCTCGACGTTATAATAGGTCTCTCCAAGGCAATCGGAAATCAGTTTTCTGATATCTGGAGGGTTTTCCAAAAGCCCATCATGAAATTAGCATCATCTCAAACCAATTATGAGAGATCAACTGCCGTGGGTGTTATTGCAGAATGCACTTCCAGTATGGGCGAAGCTGTATCACCATTCACCAAGGAGCTTTTAAACATACTCCTCCATCGTCTAGGCGATGAAGATGCCGAAACAAAATCCAATGCCACGTATGCCCTCGGACAACTTATTTTCAACTCTACGTCATCAAATGAATATCTCGGGTCTTATGAAACCATTCTATCCAAGCTTGAGCCACTCTTACAAATCCAAAATGCTCGAACTCTAGATAATGCTGCCGGCTGTCTATCTAGAATGATTATGGCACACATTGATTGCGTTCCAGTTAATGAGATGTTACCCATGCTAGTTGACGTGCTTCCTTTGAAAGAAGATTATGAGGAAAATGGACCCATTTTCGAATGTATCACCGGGCTTTGTGAGTGCTTCCGATTCAAATCTTGTCCTTAATCTAACTTTGTCTCTTCCACAGACCAACAATCTCACCCAACAATAATTTCATTAACTCCTAAGCTGATACCAGTATTTACCGCCGTCCTCGATGAACCAATGGCACAGATTGAAACGAATATTCGCGAGAAAATCGTTGAGACAGTCAAATTCATCGCTGCGAAAGAGCCAAATATCGTACAGGGAAATCTTGTTCTCTCTAATGTATTGAATTCATAATCAGTCGAACAACAAATCTTGAAAAAATACTTTTAAAACTAATGATTTATGAAAAATGAGATGAAATGATAAATAGACTTGTTTGAAATACCCACTAATATATTACTTTTCTATCTCCTATTCTGGAACTAATCTGGGGTGACCACGTCACAAATACCGTCGAATATTTAAGAGGATAAATAACGTTATACGAGAAATCCACTATTGTTTTTGAGATTCTATTTCGTTAAAATGATGCGCAGGACGCGAAGAGGAACTTCTTTAAATAGCGTTGTAGGAATTACTCAACCCCAAGCAGGGCTTAAATGTGACATAACTCAACTTTGATCCAAAATTTTACTAAAATAGAAAATTTCTGTCTTCTTTTACACATATTTGAAATGTACATAATTCATTTCAGGTAGAAATTTCAGGTGCCAGCCCTTATTCAAAAAGCAGCAGAACAGCCTAAATCAAGAACCACATCTTGTTATGGTCCCAGTCCGTGCATCTGCTATTTACAACCATGCATGGAATTGTCCTACCGATCAACGATTGGCCATGCTTCTATGTGCTCTGATCGATCACATTAAAAACAGCTCAGTCACAATTTAGCTCCCAGCTCTGCAGTATATGATTCCGCAGACTGTAATACCTAAGCTTGAGTCAAAAAAATAGCCATATCTTCTCTACTCCCCGGCTCCAAAGCTCTACATTGAGCTTGACGAACTTATTATGAATTCATTTTATGGTCTTTTCTGATTCTATGACTACGTTGGACATGCAGGTCCTCTCTGCCTACAGGCCAAGAATACCTATACCAGTAGTATATCCCCTCCTATGCCTCCCCTATAGCTCCCCTCAAACAGTACCACCCCCCACAAGTCCTCATTCGATCATACACTAAGAGGAGCCCTTTGCCATTCGTTATCTCCCCTCTCCAGCCAACGAAACGATGGCCGTTTGCGGGTGTATGGCAGCCGGGAAAAATCGCAAAAACTACTGGGTGCGGAGCTCTCCTATTACCGACATTAGGACTAAATCCGAAGACATATTGCCCCTTCTGAAGTGTTCGAAGAGGCCGGCCAGCTGGGCGCTGCAGACTTGTGGGTATCTCGAGAAATCCACCCTCTGCCATTCTAGCCTCCTTCCAACTCCTTCCCGAAGGTCGTGCTGAAATGTCAGAAAAGTCTTGACAGATCGTGATAGCTGTAAAATAGCTTAGCCTAGCTTCTTTTGTGCCGTCCAGGGCGCTGGGGAGTGCCGTTGACTCATCGACAATTGAAGTCCTCCCGGCTAATTAGTCGAAATCTTAGTTATGGCGCCCATACAAAATCCAAATTTGAAAACTCCTCGAAAATGTCAGTGCCAGCATGGTCTTCAGAGACCTCTTTCCCCTCTCGCTCTAAATCTCAGCCGCCTGTTCTTCCTCAAGATGTATAACCCCATTAGAGCATCAGTACCCCATAAACCAAGACCCCAACTTTGTCTATTATGACTTAATTTCCTCCTTGCGGGTATACTTCGCGTCGTAAATTTGGACTAAGTAATGGCCGGCGATGACTGAGGCAAGCTCCTTTCTGCAATTCGGGTGACGCCTTTATCGGTCGTCGAGGCGAGTTGATGTGTGGTTAGAAAGAGGTTGAAGACCCAGAAGAAAATGGTGAGCGCTGCATGATTGAGGAATCGTCAAATGGAGATATGGATGTGTTTTCTTTCGACTTCGATTCGGATGCGATTCTTTTTGGCTATCCCAGATATGCAGAGCATACTTAGCGATTACACTGGCACCACTGGAAGATGAAGAATTCTTATTTGCCGGCTGAGCTTGGCGTACTAATACCTGCTAATCGTTTACGCGAGTCTACATTACGTTACATGTGTGCATCAGGATCTACACAAGTTCAACCATTAAACATTATTGGATGATCGTAGAGATCGTATCGAACCAATGAGATGACCGACCTCCAGTATTTGTGATCGGGCGAGGGGATGATTGGTTACGAATAATGGCGGTGCTCGCACAAGCCCAACATGTGCATAGAGGCACAAACAATCTCTTCTCTTCATTCATACTCTAGAACATCCAATTTGGAGGGTAAACACCGAACACCTGTCCACGGTGTCCTCTCCGAACCTGAGAGGGAAATATTCTTCCAGAGCCAAGTTCAGTTAAATTTCGTAATACCAAAGAAGTTGGCCGATGAAGCAATGATTCAAGACTTTCCAACATGTCAACCTTTCATTCCCAGCGACATCAGCTCCTACCAAAAAATCTAGTTTCCGAGTCTGACCAAATATATCGTCAATTAAATAACCACACCTCTAATCAACTATTCTCGGGCCTCAGCTGACCACCAAATACACGCTCACCTCGATATTTATACCCGACGGAAAATATAAGGCTTGGCACCCAAATTTGGAAGTTTCTTCGGATGGACGTGAGACTAATCAGGACAGGTTTATAGGACGATACAGACAGTAGATACTATATCGACGGGTGTGAGACTTCGAATTTTAACCAGGAGTTTTACAAATTGAAGAGAATTGTGCGCGTCAAAACTTCGCTTGCGAGATTGCAGCTGACACTATAAAACAAGCAAACGATGGAAGGTGTTGTGGTCCGCCTCCTAGTTGTGTTCTCCAGTATAGTTTGAGTAGCCTGGGCACCTACTCTTCTTGGAAAGGAGACATCTTAGATTACATTTCGCGCGGAGAAAAGTTGATGGATGACGGAGGCATGTCTGGATAACTCAGGGGTTTTGAGATGTTCCACTGGGTGAGTATTCACGGATGAGGGTTGACTTGGGGTGAAGAAAAAGCCACCATAACTTCGTAGTGGCACTTGCAAATGAAATCTGAGGCATGAGTGCTCCTCTTGTAAATTGAGTCATCTTTTCTGTAATTTTCTCTGATATTGTGTCATAGCTAGATAGCTGCATACGCAATTAAAATCTGATGCTAAAGAAAAAGAGATCGGCTCCTACCTAAGTCTCATCAAGTCTACAGATACGACCTAGTACATCCTAATTCCAATGATCACACCTGTTTTCGACTTTCTCTGGCCTCAGCTGGTCGCCAGATACACACTGTTGCGCTACGGTTATTTTAGGTTTACCTGAATTTACTCATAACATGACTCGGGTCGGAGAAGTTAATGCTGATACGTGATGCGTATCAAGGAAAATATCTTTTTGTTCGGATTTTACATAACTCATACTTTGAATTGGGTTTACATTTATGTTTCCGATGATATTCTCATCTTATCTGTCCAGAGCACGGTTTGGTATGTTTCGGTGGTAGCATTATTGCCAGCGAGTTATCTAGTAGGGTTTCATATGAGGAAAACTATGTATTTTAGATACTCGATAGCCAGAGAAAAGAGAGACATCTTTTCGATGATTTGTTACCTTCTACTCCCATTTCCAAAATAGTCCAACACACACCCACGCCGATATTTACACCCGACGGAGGAAGCTAAGCGTGGTGCACAAATCTAGGAGACAGCTCTCTAGGATGAACGTGAGAGGAATCAGGATATGTTAACAAGACTATGCAGAGAATAGATACAATCTCGACGGGCGTGAAATTTTGAATGTTGCCAAGGAGTTTTTAAAAACTGAGCTCTGTGCGTGCCAAGGCTTCAGTCGCAAGAGTGTGGGCAAAACTATAAGCACCGCCCTGGTAAGATGTTGCGATGGTACATCTTCATGACCGGTCAGCCTAGTAGAGTCTGGATAGCTTGGGCACATCTCACTTGAGACAGTAGATCGCTGGTTCAAATCCGGCAAAACACAACCACATTTCTCGGGGCGCTGGTGTGCATGGATGACGAAGGCGTGCTTGGATAACCAAAGGGTTTTGAAATTCCCTTTGATGGGTGCTTACGGAGGAGGGTCGACTGTTTGTGCAAGCAAACACAGGTTATAGTGGTATTTGCAAATGAGATCCAGGGTATGAGTATCTCTAATGTCAAAAAAGTCATCTCACATGTATACATAGCACCGGTCATGTGTCATAGCTTTATAGCTGCATACACATTATATGATAAAAAAAATGTTACAGTAAGATAGAATCGTAAAAGGGAATGTAAAGGTCTACTGTAATGCATCTTGGAACCATTCGGTGTGATACGAGAATTAAGATGTAGTGCAGGGCGCTAGCACATTCGAATGGGTAGTTTTATTTGTTTTTAGTTTTGTGTGTCTAGGTTTGTATTTAACAATGATGTAGGTAGCGAAGATTGATGTAGATCTAGCTTTCCAAACTTGGGGCTGGATGGTGCAGTGGTGCACCATCCGGGCCGTTCTCCTAAGTAGATGCTGGGTAGCATGAATACCTATCCGATTCGGGACAGGAGAAAGCTGGTTCAAACCTAGTAAGACCCACACACCTAATTCTCTCGCGGTGATATTGTTCTTGTGGGATGATGAAAGCACACTCGGATAGCCACAGGTTTTCCACGCTTTTCCGTGTGGTGGGTATGCACGGAAGAGGCTTTGTGCCATGAAGGTCAACCTCAGGTGGTATCTGCAAATGAAATCTGAGTGTGAATGTTCTAAATCAAAAATTGAGTCAACCTACTTAAAGTACATATCTTCCGATAAAAACCTGCATGGGCCTCAAAGCTCCAAATTAGGATTCCAGATTAATTTATTTACCCGTGCCATGCCCTCTAGGTGCTTGGCTAGTAACCAGTCACGAGAAAAATATCATCATCATTATTACAGCCCAAACTCCAGCATCTTTGCTTTTGGCTCACTCATATAAAACTTGTGTCCTATTTGAATTTGATTTCATTTAGCCCGATTTGGCGCCTTATGGCCCATGCAGGTGTCTACGAACTCTAATATTTATGTAGGAGAAAACCTTTATGGTATAAACCCCCTCAACTTTTCAATTTATAAACACTTTAGTTATGTATTACCTTCAAGAAGTGTACTAATACTATTACGTCCAGTGCGGATACCGTCCACTTCATTGCTACTGGCAGGAGATCATCTTTCCCCTGCTCTCCTCTC